GAAGGACAACTGCCCTACCTTTATGGCACATGAAGGCCACAGACTAGGTATTTTCCACTCTGAAGTCAACTACTTTAAAGTCCTTCCAAAACACTAGTTACAACTGAGGGTATTAATATACAAATGTAAATAAATTCACTATTAATACTAAACTTTGTTTTAAAAGTAAATATTTATTTATGTCAGCTATAACTACAAAGTTAGATTTTTCCATGGTAGGTCTGCAAGGTCTGAACAGAGATAAAAAGGCATGAACCAAACATGTTTTAAACTATCTGCATCTTAGACTCATTGGAAGGAAGAACTAAACAGCAGATATTTTATGTTTTATTTGTGTTTTATTTGTGATAGAGTTTTTTTATAACTTGTTTTTACCTTTTAAATGCTTCAGCAGGGTTCCTCTCACATTCCCCGGGTTGCAAGAGACTTTGAATAGCAGGATCTCTTAGTTTGTCCTCATATCCCTGGATCAGTCCACTGCGGCAGATTTGTGTGACTAAACCTCTAATAAAGCCTCCAACACAGAGTGTGTCAGAGTCTTGGGCCCTGCAGAAGTGGAAGGCTAGAGCCTGGCGATGTAAGCCTCTCTGGAGGTTTGCAGGTGAGCTTGGCCACAGTAACTCAGTACAGAGGGCTGTCTTCCCACTACCGGGCCCTCCTACCAACAATACACCCCAGGCAGCTCCTTTGCCAGAGACACTACCGGTATTATTCCCAGAATTCGCTACAAGAGATGGTTTGTTGGCAGTGCTACCACTGCAGTTAGCTTTCTCCTGGAGGCAGTGCTGAAGCTTGTGGAAAACCCACTCCCTACAGTAGAACTGCTTTCCCTGCAGCAAGCTGGTTTGAGCCATTTTACAAAGCTTCTTCTCTTGGATGTGTCATAAGCAGCAGCACATCTTCAACATCCCGGAGCAGGGAGACTCGCGCTCATCTCGCACAGAACTTGACAGAGGTTACCGGGAGATCAGTTAACCTTCCTCGTAAAACTTAACAGCCTCTTGGCAGGAAGGGTGTCACTCCATTTGTGTGCTTTGTTGTGATCAGCATGGCACAATCACAGCTCAGCTGACATCGTGAAGCCGCGTCTGGTACCAGCACTCTGCAACACCTCTTGTGCGGCTCACAAGTTCACACAGCTCCATGGCTGCATCTGTAGCTTACGCGGCTGTGCGTGTTCCCAGTGTACAGGGGAGATAATACATCTGGAAAAACTGAGGGAAAGCCAACTTTGCAGTGTATACTAAATGCCTTTCAACTCTAGGCATTAATCTCCCTGGATATACATCCAGAAAAAGCTGTCCATAATAAAATGTTCCTTCTGGGAGTTTTATAAAAAAAGTGATTTTTCTTCAGAGTACTGTATACACACCACAAATGTGGTAAGTACCACTGACTAAAACAGCCAGTTTGGACAGCGAGCTTTGCAGACTTCATACATCTGGGAGAGTGTCCGAGAAGTGCTTCAGATTACGGTTTCTCTTATGCAGTATAGACGGCGGGGGAAAAAAATGTTTACAGCTTCTTATTTCAATACATTCGTAAGTGTCTTCTTCAGGAACTTGGGATTGTTACTGAACCTGTTCTCAGGTATCTCAATCGCAAGATGTCAGAAGAGACAACATCTTCCCCTAGAGCTCTGAAATAAAGGAGACAGCACTTTTAACCCTACATGCAAGTCATAATTCAGTCAGTGGCAAATGCAGACAACAAAGAGTAAAGTCAAGGGCTCTTATTCCTCAGTTTTGCTAATACTGTTAAATTAAACCTAAAGAGCTGTTCTAAAGAAAATCCGTTGTTACGAGGTGCGATCAGCCACATGCAAGGAAAAATAACAATAAACAATGAACAGATATGACAGTGGCCTTAAACCCACATTCTCTCCCGAGGAAAACTGAATATATCCTCTCATCTCAGAAACACTCCTCCTGACGAGGCTCCATCACCGAATCCTCTCCTCACCCCGTTTCCCAATCGCCGGCTGCGGGCGTTTCTCGGGAGTTTCGTGCGGCAGGGCATTGCTGCTCCCCGCACACTTCTTTGTTCGCGGCAGCCGAGCGCCGGCAGCCCCCGGGTCACGGCGTGACACCCGCTGCCACCGCCCCGCCCGCGCCAGCCCCTCCATCCCGGGCCGGGCTGAGCCCCGCGCCCCGAGCCCTCACACGAGCGGCTCAGCAGCCGCTTGGCAGCGCGACCACCTCCCTCTGGGAAAACCCCCGAGCAGCTGGGAAGCCTCCCCAGCCCTTCCCCTGCCGCTCGCCCCCCGGCGCGGCGCCACACGCCTCGTCCCCGCTGTCGCCCCCACTCACACCCCCGGGCACCCCCCGAGCCCCGGGGTCGGTGCCAGCCCCGCCCGGGCAGGGGCCTCGCCGCCGCCCGCTCACCTCCGCCGCCGCCTCGGCTCCTCCAGACGGCTCCTCTGTCCTCTCCCCGCTGCCCGCGCCCCTCCTCTTCCTCCTCCCGGCCCCTGGGCTCCCGCCCCCCGGGCGCCGCCGTGCCAGGGCCGCGGCCACCCCGCTCCGCGGCTGCCTCAGCCCGCCCGGTGCTCTCCCTGCTCGGCGCCTCCCTCGCTGCCCGCTCCGCCCGCCCCGGGCCCGCCCCGGCCCGCCCCTCTCCCCTCGGGCGGCGGGGACATCTGGGGCGGGGCGGAGGGAGGCGGGCAGCTCCCCGTGGCCGCCGCCCCGGGCTTTGTGCCGGCCCCGCGGGCCGCCCGCCCGCTCCCCCCCGCGCCCTCCCGGCGCGGCCCTGCAGGGGGCGGCAGCGCCCCCCGCGCCGGGCGGGGCCGCGCCCTCAGGCGCCGTCCTGGCCCCGCTCCACAGCGGTAAACTTGAGGGGAAAAGGTTCTGCCTGAAGGCGAACCCGCAGTTACCCCAGCCCAGGGGCACAGGCCCTCACGTTGAAACCGTATTTTCTTCCTTTTTTCTTTTTTTTTTTTTTCTTTTTAAGAAGCACGGACCTCATAGGGACAGAGGACACACAGCCTCCCCAAATAGTTGCACCAATTCTGACCTTCCCCCTCAACCCCCGCCCCTTCCTTCAGAGTATGCTCGGACCCAAAAATTGTGTTTCCAAGACTGCGAGAGCTCGGAGGGCTCCATTGGAGTATCCCACACCCTTCTCTTCCAGCACATTAAAGCAACCCCAGAGCTTTACAGTTTTGGGTCCCTACAAGCCCTTGGAAACATGAACCTAAATACGGAAGAAAACAGGGTGGAACTTGCTCCAGGACAACTTTAACATGGAAGAAAGCAGGGTGGAACTTGCTCCGGGGCGCCTGTAAGAGGCCCTTGTGAAGCCCCCTCCACCCAGGACAACAAAGTTACAACTCTCACCCTTTATTTTGTCGTTTGACACAGCAAGGGAAGGATTTTCATTAAAATTTGCTCCCCTCGTAGCCAGCTGCGTTATTTATGATAATGTGCTTTTCCATTAGCTGTTGGATCAAGGTCTTCACGATTGCTAAATAGTGCCTTCATTTTAGCACAGATTCATATACCAGGTAATTAAAGTATCGTGGAGTACATACTGAATATATCCATAGGATACAACAGAGTGATTTAGGACTTTTCAAGGAGCGTCCCGGGATTCTTTGTAGGAGCAAAATGATAAATTAAATAAATTTAGTTGGTGTGCTGAAGAGCTTAGAAAAACAAGTCTGTCTGCTTCTGAAAACCAGTAGAACAAGTTTGAAGAACCTTTGGAAGTAGTGAATTACAAATTCGCAAAGCAATTGGGAGTGGGGGAGAAGCAGAAATAAGATTAGTAGAAAGAAAATGTTCTGTGGTTGTTTTGTTTTGGGTTTTTTTAATCTTTCTTACTTGGTTGTATTTTTTTTAACTGTACACTTTAGGCAAATAATCTTCTCTAGGTTGGTTTGTTTGGTTTTTTTTTTTCCCCAGCTGCACCACCCTTCCATTTCGAAATGTTGTAGAAACTCAAGACTTCCAAAACTAATGCTAATACAAGTTCAAGAGACTTTGAACTGTAAAATATTTTCTTCTTTTCTTCCTTTATTTTTTTTAACAATAAAGGAATAGGGATAGATAATGTCTGGATTGCAGCTCTGGACTGGGGAGCAGACTGGAGACAAAACAGAGGTTGACAGAAAAAATTATAAAAACCCCACAAGAAACAATTTCAGATTCAACACGTTAAGAAACAGATCTTAGGCACAAACATTAGAATGGTAGATGATCCAGGAAAAAAAAAGATGAGGAAAATGATGATACTGGGGAGAAAGTGAAACTTCTGTCTTTCTGTTGACCGCGGCACAAACAAACCCCGAAATTAGATGAAAACACACTGTCAGATTTCACAACATCCAATATGAATATTCTGAAGCAGGTGGAGTAACAGCATGGTTTGCTAAAATCAGATATTTAAACATAATCACGATGGAGTTATAGATAATAATTGTGAAAATACTTACCTTTCCATACTAATACGTACATTCTACAAGCAAACAGATGACAATAATTTGATTTCAGCACGGTACAGAGGACACAAAATCACTAAACCCCCAAATTAACCTGTGGGCGCTGCATCTGAGCAAAGCTTCCCTTTAGGATATCTCTTCTACAGCTTACATGAGGAGTATGAAGTACTTTTGGGAATGTAAAAGGGAAGAAGGAGGGGAAAAAGAACAGCAGTAGGAAAAAAGTGTGGCTGGCCTACAGTATAATTAGGTAAAATATTGCAGAGTCTAAAGTATGACCTTTCAAAAAAGTTCTTTGTACAACCTAAAGGTGAAGATTGGGAGTGGCCTTGCACTGACCCCCCCAGATTACTACTAGGAAGCAAAAGCATATAGACACTTTCAGTGATAAATCCTTTTTTTTAAAAAAAATAAATCCTAAAAACAAGTTCAAAGGGTTAAAAACCTGAGATTGTCATGAAGAGGCACAGCCGCTTAGGCTGGGGTCTTTCATTTGTACACAAAAAACTAAGACCCTGTAGTCAACCTTCAAAAGCAAGTGAGGCATTTTGTTATCAAGTTTATTTGCATAGTACCTCCTATACCTAAGGTGACAGCTTAGATGACATCATCTTAATGAAATATTATAGCTAAGGGTCAGATATTTCTGATACAATTGTGCAATGTTATAGTTAATGAGGCAGTATCAAGACAAGAACCAAACCTTGTTTTGTGGTTTTGTGTAACTTAGTTTGACACAGATAGCAAACACACCATGATCTAATTGGCTGCAACCTTGCAGGCTGCAAGACTGACAGATAAGGCCTAAAAGAGGCACAGAGAGGATGAAACAGAGCAAAATTTCCTATCTGAAAAAAATCCCCCTCTCTCTACGTTTAGTTCAGTGGTCTGAAGCTGATGGGAGGTTTGTGTCACGCATGATTTTACATATGGATTTATACTTATTTAAATATTAGTTAGGGCTAAGAAAAGAAGGAACTTTTAGTAAAAAGACTGCACAAAAAGTTGTAGCATTGTGAGGTCTGTACTAACACTGAAGAACCTGATGGGGTGGGTTAAACAAAGACCTTTTATGCTTTCCAAATGATTTGCCGTATCTTTTGCAGAGTGTTAGGAAAGAGTACTGTGTATTTTTCAATTATTTTGACAGTTTCAATGTGATGTTATTTGGATATGAAAGTAGGCAATCTGGATGGACAAGGGAACGTAATAGATTACAATGAGAAGGGCAGCATGAGGCATACTTAAAGTCATCCAAATCTGAGCCATCATATGCATACATAAGCTTTTGTTTGCTTTGTATGAAGTTTGTAGCACTATTACCATTTTGCCTCTTTTTTGTTCCGTGACTCAGACCCGCTGTGGGTCTCGTGGTCGGGGTGCACGCACATCCCAGCCCGTTCGGAGCCAGCTCTGCACGGAAAGGGAGTGGAGCTGCAAATCCTTGCAAGCTTGTAATATCTTTGGTAAAGCTTTTGGTAGGGCAGTGATTCACATCCAAAAATAAATGTTTTGCAAGGGTGGGCCTGAGGCGTGATTATCTACTTAAACACGTAGTAGTTGTTTTAACTGCTTTTGTAACTTTTAAGTCACTGATTTTCATGCGTAATTATGTATTAATTCAGATACTTTCATTCTCTGACAGGTAAAATTAGTGAGGTTGATGGTAAATAAAGATAATGCAAATTTAGGATAACATAAGAACATTAACCTAAAAAATTTTATAATTTCCCAAGCGAATAGTGGAAGTCTTATCACATGAAGTATTTAGGCAAAGGCATTTCACTGACACTGATGTTTCAGGTCTTAGTCCGAAAATCTGTCTGGGGTGAGATGTACTTTCATCTTGGGCCTGTAAGCATATGGTGCCTCTACAAAATCACCTGGAAGTTCTGTACATGGGCAGCCTGTGTTCAGCCTGGCATCCACTGCCATGTTTGTGGGTCCCTTTCGGCAGGGCTGGTTGGTCTCAGCCTGGGGAGATGCCTGGGGTTGCTCTGTCTGACGCACAGAGCTCTGCACCTCTCCTTGTAGAGCTTTACGAGGTTGCTGCCAGTCCAGTTCTGAAATTCAGCAAGCTCCCTTTGGACTGAGTGTGCTGTTTGCCATATCAGAGACATCTCCTGGGTAGCACGGTACCCTTGAGTTGCACTCTGTGTCACCATCCAGGTGAATATGCTGGAAAACATCAGCTCCTGGTGTGAATCTTGGAGCCCCCCACCAGTCACTGGCTGCCACACGGATATTGTGCACTAATTGTTCTCTGAACCAAGCTGTGCAGCCAGTCTCAAATCCTCCTGGTCATCCATTGCTCCAGGCCATAATCCCTCAGCTCCTAAATGATGATGCTATGGGGGATGTCAAAGGTCTCACTATGGTCTGATTACTTCGTATTCACCATTTGCTGATCCTCCAGAGAGTGAGTTATTTGTGCTGGTCGCTTTGTCATATACCTGAGAACGGACTCCAAGAGGATGAAGTCCTCAGGAACTGAGGTGAGGTTGACCACCTCATCCCTGCATCCTCCTTCTTGCCTTTTTAAAAGAGGAACATAATGCTGGTTGGTTTGGTTTTTTTTTTTCTAACTTATCAGGGTCTTCCCTTATCCTTGTGATTTTCAGTAAATGAAGGCAATAGTGTTCTTTTACATAAGAATATAGCTAGGAAGTATAATAGTTCCTTTCAGCTCATTCCTCACCCTTTCTCATTACCCAGTAATTTGGGTAGGAGTATTATCTGTCCCATCTATTGAAACTGGATCTCTGTGAACAAAGGACGCAAGAATGATTGAGCTGAAGCAAAATTAAACAAAAGATCTGGGATAGGATCATGTGGTGGCTGGAACACTTGGCCACAAGAGGAAAGAGCTGTATTCTCATTCTCCCTGAAAAGAAAATAGTTCCCACTTCCAGGCTGACAGCATTCATTTCTAGGTCATTACAGAACTGCCACCACAACATATTCTAGTTGCATTTTAGTAGAAAAATGGCTGCTATGCTTTGGGTTAGAAAAGGCAATTATCTATTTCTTGATAAACAAGTCACAGAGTCTGTCTTATAGCCACAGAGAAGGGAAAGGAGGAGGTTTACAATATCTTCATCCTTTGTACAAATACACTCATGCATTGAATACCCAGCGGTGGTGGATGTTCATTTTGTAGTTTTAAAACAGATTGAAGACAAACTCAAAAGTCTGCCCTTGCCTGGAAAAGACCATTTGTATCACATGTAATTATAACT